TTCTGGTGAATTTCAGGTGAAATTACAATGGTTTTCTATTTTTAGTATATTCTCAAATTTGATAGGTATAATTAAATTGTGTAACTTCAACCCCAGTAAAAGTTGATCAATTTTAATCAGATCAAAATTTTAACCAATAATTCTGAAAGCTTAGGTTCTGGGCTACCATTTTTTACGGTTAGAATTTTTATTTCTATATTTGAAAAAAAAATTTTAAGGCAAAAAAGTTGATCAATTTTTACTATAACCAAATTCCTATTATAGAGGTTCCGCACTGTACCTTATTTTTGATTGAATTTAAATGATGCAACAAATACAATTTGCATGTCATTTAATAATTATATCCACTCATCTTTGATATAGTAAAACTGAACCACACGTTATGTTGTCTAGGGAATAGGTCATACCCATTTATTTTTGACATAGCAAAACTGAATTACATGTCAAAAAAAGTGTACTACTACTTTATAGGTTATAATACACAAATAATGATATCGAATTTGGGTTTCTAAAAGAATTAAGAATTGTTGTAGAAGGGGTACAAGGAGCTTTGAAGATTATGATCACTCCACTGGTCGAAAATTGATAAAGTATACACATATCGGATACTCGATATGTGTATGTTTTATTAATTTTCGACCAGTGCTCATCTCTAATATTTATTTTTACGTAACAAATACAATTTGAGTATTATACAGGGGGCCATGTATCTTTGATGCAGCAAAACTGAATTATGCATCACTCTCTGACACAACAAAACTGAATTATGCATCACTCCTCTGATGTAGCAAAACTGAACCACATGTTATTCATCTTACGTGACAAATGTGATTTGAGCATCATATTTTATACTAAGTGATCATCCTGGAATACTATAATATAATTATATTATGGTATCCCAGAATGACTACTTTACTTTTAGAATATTTTTTTGTAGTGTTTCTGATGATACAGTACTGTTCTATAGATCTATATGAGAAAGAAGGGTCTACAGAATTGTAATTAGATAATGCTTCATTTATTTATTAATTTATATAATTTTCAGATATTTTTAATAGGTTATTATTACTTCAAGAAAGTTATAATTAATAAATTAATTGTTTTAAATAATAAATTTAGTTATTTTATTAATGATCAATTTTTATTTTTATCAAATATGACTAAAGATTATTATAGTTATTTAAAATAAAATGATGTTATTAATCTTATTTGAAAAAAAAATTAATAATTTCAATAAAATAAAAAACAATATAATTTATTATAAGTTATAATTTAGATTGCATATTTTTTGTCAAATTTTAAAATATCTATAAAAATTTTGCATAGAGTTATTATAAAAAACAGTTGCATATTTTTGACTAAAATCTTATAAATCTTTTTATGATATTTATTATAATATTTTGAAGTCCTGTAATACTTGATGAAATATATTTAAAATTGAAAATAATTATTGATAGTTGTTACATATAAAACTTTTTATTTTAATAAGTAAATATTAAAATAGTACCAAGTAATCTCAAATATGAGAATAAATTACATATTATATTTAAAGAACATCAATATTGAGAGAACAATTAACAGTTAAATTTTAAACAGATAAAAATTCTTTAAATGATAATTATTCGCTCAATTTTGAAGATACAGGTTTGTCCTTAAAATATGATATACAATTTATTCTTTTCTTTAAGATTACTTAGTACCACTTTTGATATTTACTTACTAAAATAAAAAGTTTATGTATATATATATTAATGATCGATGATTTTGTTATTTTTATTATTGATTAACCAATCAAATTACTAAAGTAACTTGGAGCAACCCGGGTTGATTATACTCCAGTTAACAACCCTACTCAGATTGCAGCTGAGGCACTTCAGGTGATTATAATCTATGTGATACACCTCAGGTGACGATTCTCACCGGAGGTACCTCAGAGTCAAGAATCACAACATATATATGGCTTGGATGACCAAAAGCCCCACGCAAAGGGTTTAAACGAGCTTTTGTTTGTATCATAAACCTTTGCCGATTTTTCTTTTATGTGATACAAATTAAATTACAGTAATAAATATTCTGTATAAACTAGTTCATACAAAGATAAATTGTAATAAATTGTATTACGATTTTCACACGAATCAAACACGAATCACAAATATATCCAACCTAACCATAATTTACCTTTTTTTCACAACTTTAAATTACAAAATTAATTAAAAAAATACATAATTTCGAAATTTCAAAGAATAATTTTTTTTAAGAAAAAAAATTATTATCATTGTTTTTTTTATTGTTTTTTTTTGAAACGAAACTAAAATAAAAAAATTATTATTAAAACTATTGTTTGAGAATTCAAATATCCATTGTTTATTTATTAAAACATTTCTTATTTTGAAACAAAGCATTTCGAAAGTTTTGAAAAAATAATTTTCTAAAAATATATATTTTATATATTATATATATATATATATATACACATAAATGTATATATATTTATACACTAGTCTCGAATCTCTCATTATTATTAATATTAATATTTTTATTATTTTATCTTTTTCTTGATTCGAAAAGCTCTGGGAGCTATTTCACTCATATTATTAATTATTATTAATTTTTAATTGATTAATTAAAAAAAAAAAGAAGGCTCTGGAGCTATTCAACCATATTATTTCATATTATTATAAAAAAAAAAAAATTAAAATTAAAATTACAGAACAATAATTTTCTAAGTTATGACTACTTATAATACCACTGCTTTACCTCGTGTTAAACATACAGTAGCAGGAAGATATGATCATAATTCGTCACTTGACGAAACAGAAGAAAATGAACATAATACCACGCGAAGATATCGTGATTATAATTCGTCATTTGACGAAACGGAAGAAGGGCATAATACTGCACCACGACGATATCGTGATTATAATTCGTCAATTGAAGAAACAGAAAAACGTGAACATATCACACGAGGATATCGGGATTATAATTCATCCTTTGAATCCTTTGATGAAGCAGAAGAAAGTGATAGTTATAAAATAAAACCTTATAATAGATGGCGTGCTAATAGTGTAAGTTCATCTTTCGGTTCAACCCATGTACAAGGTAAAAAATTTGATATAATTGATGAAGGTAATAATAAATTATCAAATTCAATGAGAAAATATGGTAGAAATTGGGAAACTGATGATGAATTATTTAAAACGACCAGTGTAGGTTTTTATTATTATTTATTTATTATTCTTCTTCTTAATCTTTCTAATTGTTATTGTTATTATTATTATATTGTTATTATTTCTATTTTTATCGTATTTTTATTATGATTATTTACCTTGTCGAACCAATTTGGATTTCTAAGAATTTTCTTATAAAAAAAAAAATTAAAAATTCATTTTTTTTTTATTCTAGCAAAATATACGACCAACATCACAACAAAATCACAATTCTGATAACAATAATAATCCAAATGAAGATTTAACCACCAGATCATTACTTTACCTTCTAAAAAAAGAACGTGCTAAAAGAAGTGAATTACAAAAAATTCATGATGAATTTCGTAAAATTTATAATGATGAAGTTTCAGTTCTAGAAGGTGATATTCAAACATTAAGAAATGCATTAGTATCTGAAGCAAAGATGACTAGTCAATTAAATAAACTTCTTCGAGAAGCACAAACTAAATTTACTGACGAAATGAAGATATGGACTCGTAAAGTAAATGAAATGGAAACACAAGGAAAGGAATTACAAAAGACATTTCTTGAAACAATGGAACAATTAGAAAGGGAGGAAGAAGAAATTGAGAAATTAAAAGCGGAGAATCAAAAATTACGAGCGGAGAGTCAAAAGTTAAGGAAACAATTGGATAGTTGTGTTATTGATCTTGAAAATGCTCAAAATATGGAATCTTTGACGGAAGATTATGATGTATCCGTCAAACATACAATAAATTGTAATGTAAATAGTAATAATGAATCAGAGACAGAATCAATTATAGTAAATTCAAAGATTTCAGAATTAAAAAATCGTATAATTGAATTAGAGAGTGAATTATTCGCATCTAAAGAAATGAATCAAAAATTTGAATCTTCATTACAAGAAAGTGAAACTGATAAACAAGCAGCCACCAAACAATTAGAGGAAAAACATGAAAAACAAGTACGACTACTAAGGGCCAACATTACTCAACAACAGAAAGCCATTAATGAACTTCAACAAGAAGTACGTAAAGCCAGATTCAATGAACAAAAAAATCAAAAGCAACCACATCCATTATCCTCATCATTACAACAACAACAACAACAACAACATAAACCATTAGATGAAATTGTTCACCATAATCATCGTTTACTTCAAAATAGTAAACGTCGAGTTCATTTATCCGATTTATCTGAAAATTTTCCAACCAAAGAACGAAAGAATAGTTTGACTAGTACTAATAGTGGTAGTGTTGGAAGTAATAGTTTAAGTATAAGAGGAAAAGATGGAACGCTTAATGAAGACGATGAAGAACAATCCGAAGCATTTTCAGAGGAAGAAGAACAGGAAGAGCAAGAAGATGATCAATCATCATCATTTTGTACTGGAAGTGAAAAGCAAAGTCATCGTGGAAGTGAGGAAACAAAAAGTTCCATTGGATCACATGCTAAAAATTTTACGAAATTAAATTCTTCACAGAATCATAATGATAATGAAGGAAATGAGAATGAACTTGATTTGGATGCGATATTTTCGGATCGTGAAGATCGATCTTTACCTTTACTTGGTCACTATTCAGCTGCTGAATATACAGAAGATGAAGATTTTGTTGATTACACTAAATTAAATTCATTTTTTTAAAAAAATAAATTAAAATTAAAAAATTTTAGTAATTGATGAAGACTTAAGAATAGAATTAATAATAATAATTAATAATTAGTAATAAAAAAAATTAGATATAGATTGGTAGAATTGATTATATAAAAAAAAAAAACCAAAAACAATCTGTGTAATTGGATAAAAAAAAAACATTTAATTTTTAAATTTAATAATTAAGGACCAAATTTTAAGTTTTGGGGTCATATTATTTATTTGTCATAAAAAGAACTTGTAATTATTTGAACTGTAATTATAATAATTTTTATTTATTTTCTTGTATAATTAAATTTCCCCAAAATGTGTCACAAATTATCTTTGTGTATTGTTATATAATAAACATATACTTGAAAATTCAATTTCAAGGAATTTAATTTATTAGTTTCCTTTATTTGGTATAAAAAAAAATATATATATATATAAAATTAATTTTTTTTTTTTTTCGAAAGTTATTTAGTCATATTCAGTATAATTCTTCTTTCTTTCTTTCAAATTTCCTTTTCATCTTCATAACAAATATGGTTTACCAAGATCGTTTACCATATTCTCCTTATCGCTCATTATATCAAAGACCGGCTTACCTGAATTGGTTACCTTTTCGAATATCGTCATTTTCGAGATTGATTAAAAATTTCATAATGTTATTATTAATAATATCATTTATTTCAATTACATTTCTTCGATTTAAAGAACATACTCATCATGATTTAATAGATTCCAAAAATATACCAATATTTAATAATTATAGTGTAATGGTTTTTATAGTTGATGGCGAACAACAAGCCAATAACTTACAACCAATCTTTTGTCAAATCTCAAAATCGGATGTAATATTTACACATGTAATAACAACTGGAGGAAAACATGGAATGAGTGGTTCAACTTTAAAACAAAAGTGTGATCAAATATCGGATTGTCAAATAATTATTCATGATTTAAATATTTCTAAAAATTATGATATCTTTATTAAAGTCTTTACCGAATTAATTCAATTACTTAATCATCTTAAGCCCGATGTATTGTTATATATTAAAGATACAAATAATGAAGCATTAAGTGGTATTGAAAATGCAGTCAATTCATTTAAAAAAATAATGGATTTTACAGATATCGCAATACCTATAGATGATGTTAACCACCTGATGTGGTTAACAGATTTACCAATTGAAGCATTAAAGCGTAAGTGTTTTCGACAATTCTGTCTTTGTTATTATTATTTCGGGGGGTTTTTTTTTTTCATGTATAAAATGTATAAAATTTTAACCTTTTTTATTTTTTTTACTTTAGAATGGAATTTACCAAAATTTCAATTACAAGTTGTCACACAAGATCGACCGGATTCTTTGGCTCGTCTGATTAGATCATTAAAATCATCTCATTATTTTGGTGATGAAATAACATTAACGATTAATATGGATCGAGGTGTCGACCCTGTCACCATGGAATATTGTAAAACACTTGAATGGAAATTTGGTCAGAAAAAACTTCGGCATCGAATAGTTCAAGGTGGATTAATGGCTGCAGTAGTGGAATCTTATTATCCTACTGATAATAATGATTATGCTATATTACTTGAGGATGATGTAGAATTATCACCATTCTTTTATATTTGGACAAAATATAGTATCTTAAAATATAAATATGGAATTGAACGAGTTTTAAGTAAAAGATTATTTGGTATCAGTTTTTATGGTACCAAAATTAATGAATTACATTTACCTGGACGTAGAGCATTTGATCCTAAATTATCATTAGAAGGTACTAGCTTTCCTTTAAATTCACCATATCTTTGTCAAGTTCCTTGTAGTTGGGGTGCTGTATATTTTCCTGAAATTTGGAAAGAATTTCATTATTATTTTCCTGCAAGATTACAAGATTGGAAAGGTTTAAGATTACAAAATATTACTATTCCGGATGTTCGTTCAAATAATTGGAAAAATTCTTGGAAACGTTTTTTTATAGAGTTAGCATATATTCGCGGTTACGTTATGCTTTATCCGAATTATGATAATTTTATAAGTTTATCTACCAATCATGCTGAAGCCGGAACACATATTCATCTTGTTGAAGGAAAACCTGCTCCTAACGATATTTTCGGTGTACCTTTGATGGAAGAAAATGATGTATTGTCAGGTTTACCTGATGGTAAATTACCAAATTATATAAATTTACCTATGTTAGATTTATTAGGTAATATTGTTTCTGCCGAAGAAATTGTTCAAAGAGGACGTATTTTACATAGTGAGATTTCATTGTGTCCTCCTAGTGAAAATGATGAAATTTCATATGATTCACGAGATTTATTATGTGTAGACGCGGAAGCAATGCAACTGGCCATTGAAGCAAAAGCCGAAATTAAGAGAAAAAATGATAAATTAATGACAGCATTAAAATTAATTTCTATTGAATTTAATGATACTGAGACCATATCTTCAAAATTATTTGATATGGCAATTGAAATAAATAATAGTACTCGAAATGATACCAATTCAAATATTACAAATACCACCAATTCAGAAAATTCAAATATCACAGAAATCCCAAATTCCTTAAATCAAACAAAATCCACAGATTCAGATTATTCTAATTTAAACTCAACTCAAACAAATTTAACTAAAAACGAAGATGAAAGGGAAAATATAAGAACGGTAAAAGAAGTGAGAACATTAACGTAGATTAGATTAGTAAATAAAAATCCTATTATTATTATTTTTTTTTTATTTTTACTTTTTAAATCCTATTATTTTTAATAATAAATATAGGATTTTTAATTTATATGTATAATAGGTTTTAAATTGATTTAATTATTAATGAACAAATTTTGTTCACATCATTTTGTATAATAGTAATAATAATATAATAACATAACATAATATAAATGTTTCACATTCTAAATATCTCACTAAAAAAAAAAAATGGGAAATAGAGAAATAAGGTAGAATTCCAAAATTTGTTGACTGTGGTTTTTTTTTTAGTTTTATTAGGATAATTTGAAATTTTTATTTTTTATTGTTTCAAATAAAAATAAAATATAAAGAGATAAATAAATAACAGATAAACTGGATTTTTCTAAATAATTAAAATAAATATTTTATATTATAAACATTTATTTACTAATTTTCTCATATATGCATGCATACCAAATGTGCGCAAAGAACTCCAATTACTAGTAAATATTGTGTGGATGTGTGTATGTATATGTATGTATTAATGAAATAAAATGAGTGGTGAAGGAAAGGAATTAGAAAAGGGAGGAAGAAAGGAAGGGAGGAATGGAATAGAAGAAAAAAGATGGAACGGAATGGAATAAAAGGAAAAGGAAAAAGGAAAAGGAAAAAGGAAAAAGAAAAAGGAAAAGGAAAAAGAAAAAGGAAAAAGAAAAAGAAAAAGAAAAAGAAAGGAAAGGAAGGAAGAATTCGTTCAATTATTATTTTTTTTTTTTTTATTGTCTATACCAAAAAAAATATAATATATATATATATATATAAGTTAAAGATGCTATATGTAGTTTCCTAATATTTCATTATATATAATTCGAAATATGAGGAAACCAAATAATGCATGCTATAAGACTATATTATTAATTGAAATATACAACCTAAAATGAGATTTTTTTTTAAATTTAAGGAAAAAATCTTCATACCATCTTTTGTAACCGAGTAAGTAATACGAATATTAATCGAGTGGGTAATAAATGAGTAAGTAATATAACCGAGAGAATTATAACGAGAAATAGCAATAAACAAAAATGTAACAACTGAACAAATAATAATAATAAATTATCCAACAAAAATTAATTACCTGATTCACAGATTCACACATAGTAAAAAATAAATACAAAAGAAAAAAAAAAATCTAAGGATATTCTCAACAAAAAAAAAACAAAAACAAAATAAAATTTAATATTCTACAAGGATATTATTAAAGTTTATACCCCTAATATTATTCTTGATTGGATTATTCATGTTTTGGTTTGTCTTTGTTTGAGGATATGTTATGCTTGCTTTGAATTATGTTTGGGAAAATTGAGATAATGCAGTTTTCGCTTTTTCACGAACATCTAGGTTAACGTCATTCATCATATTTTTCACTATATCTTCAAAACCGAATTGACGTAATTCCCTGACACGACCGGGAGAACCTTAAACATGAAAATAATATGAATTGTTTATTACTATTATTTAATTGAATTGACACAAAAAAATGAATCCAAAAAAAAAAAAAAAACAAGAACTTACTATTATTCTTATCTTCTGTCCATGTTAAATTAATCAAACACCATACTGCAGCTACTCTTATTTCCGGATTTTCATGAGCCATATAATTTTTAATATGTGTTAAGATGTTAGGTCTACCCATTATAGCTTTTTTGTGATATTCAGCACCTGTAGCAATGTTATTGATAACATATAAAATCTTAAAAATAACAAGGTTTTAAATACCATTGAATTTTCTATACAAATTTATTTATTTTTTGGTTCAAAATAAAATCAAGATGGAATATCTACCTGTTTAATAATTTCACTATTCCATAAACATAGTTTACTTTCAATAATATTCATCAATCGTTGTTCTCCTAAACCTCTGAAAACCTCTCCAATATCCTATTTATTGACAAGAGAGAGGAATTCGACGAGAGGAAAATTGACAAGAGGAAAAAAAAAAAAAATTGACAATAAGAATTTATTTATTTTTGAAAAAAAAAAATAAATATTCAAATATTCAAAAAAAAAAGCTAAAAATTTATAAAATTTATAATAATAAATCTTCATGAAATCTTCATAAATCTTCATAAATCTTCATACATGTGGTTTTGAACATGCTAAATTCCTCAACAAATTTAATGCCTGTTCTTGTATATCAATTTCTTGATCCTCAATTAATCTATTATATAAAAAATATAGATTTTTAAAAGATATAAATAAACTTGAACAATCAATTATATATTAAGAATTAAATTTTAAATTATTCATATTCCAGTTACTTACTCTTCCATTTTTTGATATGTCAATGCCTTCATCACTGAATCTTTGACTTCTGATTCAGCATGATAAACCAAATTTTTCAAAGCCCAAATAGCATTAAGCCTTAAAGTGTTATCAGGAGAATTTACTAATTCCACTAGTTTTTCTATTCCTCCTTGCTCCATTATTGTCTATTCAAATCAATAAATCAAATAATAGTAATTAAAAATAAATAATTAAATTAAATATAAATTATTAATTAATATATAAATATTTTAAATTTTAAATTTTAAAAATAATAAAAAAATAAAAAATAAAATAAAAATAAAAAGTAAATAAAAATAAAAAATTATAAATTACCCTCTTCATCGGTGAGAAATCTAATACTATATTACATATTGTAGCACAAGCTGTTGTTTGCACATCAGTCGATTCATCCGACAAAAGCTTTATACGTTCAATATTAATCAGTTATTATCATCATCACCTTACAAATATATAAATAATTTTTATAAAAAAAATACGTTGAAAAAATCATCCTACCTTAAATAGCGGTGTCGCGATTCCCGCATCTACAAGATTTGTCCTCAGTATATTAACTGACCTTGAAAGACTCCGAGTACATTGACAAGCCGCAGCACGGACTCCATAAGATCGATGTGACATTGCTTTCACAATATGAGGAATGATTTTTGCATCAACCACCTTTTATATATTTAACATTAACAAATTAAAATTTCAAATTAAAAACCGGAATCAATTTATATAAAAAATTATTAATGTAATTACGTGACATTTACCAATTTCCTTCCTTCATCAGTTAATGAACTTACGGCTGCAAGGGCCATCAATGCATTCTAAATAAATAAATAAATAAATAAATAAATATATATATATATATATATATATATATAATAAATAAAGAAAAATTAAAGAAATTTGATTAAAAGTATAAAAGATTAATAAATATATCTCTCTCAATTAATTATATTATGAATTAAATTATGTCAATTGAATTACCTCTTTCAATTTATCACTATCACCAAGGGGATCATAATATGAATTATCTTGATCACCAACATGAGTTACAAAATCTGCTAATTTCAATACAGCCCCTGAATCACATGCGGCCTTTTGTAACTCTTCATTATCACGAATTAAATATGCTAAAAAAAATATATTTATCATCAGAAAATCTACATCACGTGAATTAATTAATTTAATATAACAATTTTAATATAATTTTAAATGGTACCTAAAACGTGAGGCGCTTCTTCTCGAACTGGACCCTTTTCATCAAGCAATTTTACTAATGTTGGTAACACTATTAACGTGATATCATTAAAATGTTCCGAGATCGCATTTGCACGACTTAGGTGTGTTAAACTATTAAATAAATCATTCGTTAAAAGAATAAAAATAAAATAAAATAAATAAATTGAATATAATATAAATTGAATATAATGTATGGAATATAAATATATAAATGATTAAAGAAAAACATAAAAATAAAAAAGAGGTAATCTCAAGTACCATTTGGCTGATATTAATTGCATAGTTGGAGATTTATCACGGATTAAATTCAACATGATTTTGACCGGACTATCAACAGACTCGGCTATATAAATTCAATAAAAAAATAAATTATTTGGTTCATATAAAAAAAAAAAATTTATTGTACTTTTTATTATTATTATTATTATTATTATTATTATTATTATTATAAAAATGAAAAAATTTTGATTACATTTTGTATCAACAATTTTACTGCCAAAATCGGGATTTTCTCGACATAAATACGCTAATGCATCTAAAGCTGCTTCTTGTGCTTTGGAATATCCACAAACCAATAATTTCACCAAGGCAGGAAAAGCTCCCGCACTTGCGATTTGAATTTGTTGATCGTTTGTATCACAGCAACGTGCAATTATAGTCGCGGCTAATTCCGCTGTGTGTACTGATGCAATTTTTTCGCGATCTAATTTAGGATTAAGTGAATCTGGATTAAGTAGAGTAACGAGATCTTGAAGATGTAAATCCTAAAAAATTTTATAAATAAATATGATTATTATTATAAATATCAATCTTTTCCTTTCTTTCTTTTTTCTTCTTCTAAATTGGATAAATATTAGAAATATCAAAAATATCATAAAATATTACAAATATTAAAAAATATTGATATAAATTTATTATTATATGAATTTAATAAATTTTTATTACGATCTTAACCTGAAACACATCATTCTTATCTGCTGTAGGACATTTATAAATAGCTTTCAACGCTCGCGCTGCAGCTTCTATTAGTCGCGAATCATTTCTTATTGATATACATTCTAATAAAGGTTTAACTGCACCATGTTTTACTAACTCGGCAACATTATCTTCACCTCCTATAATTTATAAAGTTATTATTATATTATGAAAAATGTGTTTAATAAAGAAAGAATCCTTTCGTTATATCATAAAAATTTTTAAAGTTATGTAATACCATATGCAAAGCTTCCTAGTACAATCGCTGCTTGTATTTGTACTTCAGAATCTGCACCCTCTTGAGTTTTGAAAAAAGCCACAAGCCTAACAGTAATCAAAAGTAATCACATTTCGAATTTAATATCAATCTTCTTAAAACTACCCATTTAGAAGGCCATAGAAAAATGTCCTACTTTGGAATAACGTCAAGACTAATATATAGATCTTTTTTAGTTTTATTCCCAATGATGTTATTTTTTATAAACCGTAAAGCTTTTACACGTACAAAAGGATCAAGAGAGTCAAGTTCAGCTACAGCTTGAGTATGTTTATTGGAATTCATGATAAAGTTCGAAAACGTAAATCTAAATAATATGTTTGAACCTTTGCAAAAAGGAAATTGAAAAGTCTGGTGATTACTTGCATTAATCATGTGATATAGAATTCATTACATTTTTGGCCGTAAAGTATCACAACCTTTAATTTCTCGAACTGCATACAATATCATTTTTGGTTTGGTTCCGTCATTTTGGCTAATTTTTCCGGAAATTTACTCCAAGGTATGACTTTAAATATTATTCTAACAATTGTAACAGACTAAATCAGTTAATTTACTATAATTAATTGGTAGGTCATAATAGGCATAGACCAAATACTAATGAAAAAATAATATAATCACTCGAACAATTTTAGAATAGATCCCAACCAAAAAATTATGAAAATCTTTTTTTTGAAAAAAATTTAGATACCTTCTCCATTATATTTGTAAAGAAAGGTTCCAATTTTTTGACAACTTATTTGAAAGAAAGAGCTATTAATGCACTTCCTTTTAAGTTATTGCAAAACAAATGGTAAAAAAAAAGTATTAAAATTGAAATTTTTGTTTGATCAGGAAATTTTTCCGACATTTCTCAAGAAAGTACATGTTATGACCCGTGATAATGGTAAATTATCATATTCTCATAATAATAATAAAAATAATAAATTGTTTTATGTCATAATGTGGAAAGAATTGAAATATTGGTGGACAAAAAGCGACTATAATTGCGTGTTGTGTGTACTGATTCGATTTTTTCGCGATCTGTTTGGGATAAGAGTAACGAGATGTAAATCCTAAAAAAATTTTTATAAATATTATTATAAATATCAAGCAGCTTCTATTAGTCGTGAATCATTTTTATTGATATACATTCTAATAAAGGTTTAACTGCATCACGTTTTACCATCTTCACCTCCTATAATTTATAAAGTTACTATATATGAAAATGTGTTTAATAAAGAAGAATCCTTTTTGTATCATAAAAATTTTAAATATGTCAATAACCTTCACAAAAGGAAATTAATACTGGTGATTACTTAAAATTTATCATGTGACATGAAAGACATACATTTTGGCTATATAAGTATCACAACTTTTAATTTCTCGTTGACAAATTATACAATAACAATGTCTCTCATTTACGGTTTGGTTGCTCGTGGCTCTGTCATTTTGACAGAATTCACTAGTTCTTCCGGAAATTTTGCTCAAGGTATGCTTTGATAATGATCCTAACAATTGTAACAGACCATGGGTGAGGATGTCAAAAAAAAATTAATTAAAAATTTTAATTCCTTTACATTTTATATAGTCACTCAAGCAATTTTAGAAAAGATCCCACCAAATAATTCCAAATTAACATATGTTTATGACCGGCAAGATAAATCTTTTTTGTTTTTTAAAAAAAAAAAAAAATTATTAAAACTTTAAATAACATAATCAATAAATTGAATTTTTTTTTTTTTTAGATACCTTTTCCATTATATTTGTGAAGATGGACTTACATACATGTGTATGGCTGATGATACATTCGGACGAAGGATTCCATTTCTTTTTTTACAAGATATTAAAGAACGATTTTTGGCAACTTATTCGAAAGAAAGAGCCACTACTGCACTTCCTTATGGATTGAATGAATTTTCTAAAGTTATTGCAAAACAAATGGTAAATTTAGTAAACTAAAAATTAAAATTGGTTTAAATTTATTTTAAATTATTTTAAATTATTTTGATTAGGAACATTTTTCCGACGTTTCTCAAGCTGATAGAATTAAGAAAGTGCATGGAGAAATTGAACAAGTTAAAGATGTTATGACCCGTAATATTGGTATATTATTATATTCTCATTAATTAATTAATTAATAAATGATAAATAATAATAATAATAAATTATGTTTTATTAATAATAATTGATTTAAACCATAACAATAGAGCAAGTATTGGAACGTGGGGAAAGAATTGAAATATTGGTAGATAAAACGGACAATCTTAATCAACAAGCATTTGCTTTCAAAAAGCGTAGTACTGCTTTGAAGGTATTTTTCATTAATATCTCGATTATTCCATTTTTTCACCATTTTTTTCACCATTTTTTTTCACCATTTTTTCACCATTATTATTTACTCAAACACCATTATTACTCTCATATTAAATAGCGATCAATGTGGTGGAAAAATACCAAATTACTTATTCTTTTGGTATTCGTAATTATTGTAAGTTTAATATAATTTATTTAATTTGAAATTTGCTATTATAAGAAAGAGAACTAAATTTTTTTTTTTAAAAAAAAAAAAAAAATTAATCAAAAATTAATATTTTCAGCTCATCACTTACTTCATCATTTCCTCTGCATGTGGATTTCCCAGTAAGTTTTTTATTTTAATTTATAAATGATCAATAAATTTCTTCGTTAAATATTTAATGTCTTCATTTTTTTTTATTTTTTATTTAAATTTAGCTTGGGCAGCATGTCGTGGTGCAGATTAGGAATTGGTATTATTGCGTAATTTATTAATAATTATTTCGATCATTTTAGAATGTGTTTTTTCCTTAAAAATAATGTTTTGAGATATTAAGTAAATATATATATAGTTATATATATATTTATTGCAATCATTAATTTATAACCATTTTATTATTATTATGAAGAAAGTATTTATACTCGTTTCTTAATATTATATTCAAGTAAACAATTCAAACTGTACAATAGGTTAATAAAAAAAACCAAATCATTTTATTATTAATTAATCTAAGGAAAGTAGTTCATTTTGAAGTGCAAAAATTTTAAAACGAATTTATTCATGTAAATTTTGAGAAATTATAATTTTTCTTTTTTCTTTTTTTTTTTTTTTTCTTTTTTTATAATTCATTTATATTATTATTTACAATTCTATATTTTCTATCGAATTAATCGATTAAAACTTATAAATATATAATATTGTCACTTTTACTGTCCATTCTATTATATATTTATGTAATATATTATTCTTACTTTGATGTTTCATTTTGTATCTATCCAAATTTTGAAAAAACCGAATTATTTGTGCAGCATAGAAAAACCGGAAATTTTATTATTAAACTGAATCGATCTTCTTTTCGCAAATAACTATATCCTTATATTCATTTTCTATCCATTTCCTTGCCTTATTCAACTTAATTTTATTATTAAAATATAAGGAAATGATTTCTTTTTCTCGGTTTAACCAACAGAATAAATCCAAAGCAGCAAGTCCTTCTATTATCTCTTGATTTTGAATTATTTTATCACTAATAATCCTAAGGGATTCCATTTTTTTGCTGTGATCAGGTGGTCCACATCCATATGAAAAGAATTTATAACAAGTTTCAAGTGGTGTATAATTTATCTTATTATCATTTACATAATCACTTGATATCCCTAAAGTAAAGTTGAACAAAAAATTTTGAATTAATCCTTTTTAATCATTTTATATATAAAGTTTGTATAAAATATTTAATATACCTGATTTCCAGAACCATACTTCAACTTTCCACTTAAATTTGATAGCTTCCAATAATATATCATAATAATTTCCATCACCTGCAATTAGAATCAATATACCTGGATGACTTTCTCTATAGAAAACTTGGGACATTTTAAGTGTGAGAAAGATATTGACTCTGGTTTTTCGATCAAATACTTTAATTTCGTAACCACTTTTTTCAAGATTTTTCCATAATGAATTATATGGTGGAGGATAGGAACCTACAATGATTGGTGTATTACCTAATTCACATTTACCTTTAACCAATTTGAGAAGTTGAGAATAATCAAAAATTATATGATTATTTTTAAAATCCAAATTTTCATGATTACTAATAGTGTCCCTTCCTTGTATAAAAAAATTTGAATTGTCAACAAATATGTAAACGGGTCTTTTGATTTCACTAGTTCCAACTACATAAAAAAAAAAAGTATTTAAGTTATATAATTTGTGAAGACAAAGAAAACATGCATTCTCTGTATTCTCTGTATTCTCTGTGATGAACATAAAATACAAACCATGAGAAGGTTTTAATTGATCCTGTGATATATTCAATTCTTCCAATTGTTTCTGCCCATAACTTAAACTACTAACTACAAATCAATAAAATCAATAAATCATATCAATAATAGGATGCAAAAAAAGATGACATTTACCTCGTTGTTGATCTTTAATTTTCTTGATTAATCCAATAATTCTTTTTGATGAACCAAATGGTATACCATATAGTTTAGGATCTTCTAAACTTAATTTGAGAAAATCATCACCTGAAACCCTATTTCTCCCGATGATTTTAATGTCTTCTTTTTCAAGATTTAATTCTTCTCTTTTTTCTTGTAAGAAATTAATAATATCATCTTGCTCCCATTCTTTAACTTTTTCAACGGTTGGAAGAGTTCTTTGATTTATGATTTTTTGAGAAGATAATAATTTATTGGAAGTATGTTGCGTTAAGTAAGTGATTCTCTTTGGAAAAAAAAAATTCTTATTTTTATAAGTTAACCTCCTAAAAATTCCTCGATTATACATATCAAAATTATTATTATTTGATAAGGCATTTTTTTTTTGACGATAGATAATCTTCAAAATCCTTATTCGGTAATTTCCTCTCATACTTGTTTTTTATACATTGGGATAATCCGCAGTTAAAAGGATCCTCAATAATTAAAAATAATTCCGTAATTGGTTGGAATTAAAAAAAAAACTTTTTTATTTATTTGATCATATTCTACTATGTAATAAATGTAATAAATGTAAATAAAATGTTGTGACAAAGTTGTTACATGAAAAAAAAAAGAATTTATAAAAAGAAAAAAATGAAATTTTATATTAAAAAAAAAAAATAAATAAATAAGATCCATGCCATTAATCACACATCAAAATTGAACTACTATCTTACATGAAAAAAAATGAGTATGTTAAAAAAAAGTGCAAATTGTATGATAATATATAAATATAATAAACTTATTCTACATTCCTATGTACTGAACAAAGAATAGTTGAATATCTCCTTATTCTCGTATTCTTGATCAAAAAAAAATAAAAAATAAAAAAAATTCATAATAAAAAAGATATAAAAATCATTTATATGTTTAATATCATGAACATGAATCGTACATATATGATTTATATATATATGAATATGAAATTTTTAATTTTAAGAAAAAATAATAATAATGGTTGTTTAATTTTGTAAGTTCATCTATTATTTCTTTTTTTCTTTCTTTCTTTCTTTCTTTCTTTCTTTCTTGTTGTTGTTCTTCTCTGTTGATTTATTCTTTACTAACAATTGTTACTGAATTTTCTTTATTATCGTTATCTTTCATTTCCTGCTGATTTTGTTGTTGTTCTTCTTTTTTAGATAATTCTAATCTTTCTTTTTCGGCATTTTCCAATTCTTGTTTTAAACTTTCAAGAGATAAATACGTTCGATTGTTATAAGATGTTCCTGATTTAAGGGCATCTTCGTTAAACTATTATCAATATATTTTTAAAAGATTCATTAAAATTTCCTAAATAAATAAAAATACTTGTTTCATGAGTATCAAAAACATATAAATAAATATATATATATATTACCTGAAAATCCATTCCGATATTTTCGTTTTGTAAATCAAGGATTTTTAACAAACGTTTCCTATTAATTAAATTTATATTATTAATTTAATCCTTGTCACTCTTGGTGTTATTCTAGATGATCCTATTAGCGAGACAGAAAAATAATGACAAATAATAAATAATTTGAATTAAAAACTTACCCAATTCCATTAATCACAGGAACATTGTCTTTGTCTCTCACCCATACTGCAATGCGATCTCCTCGAGGTCTACGAGACATTACTAAATTTAAAACATCATTTAAAAAAATTATTAAAAATAATAAAAATCCATATACAAATTAATTGAATATATATAAATGACAAATACCAGCCCCGCAAATATCATCATTTTCATCTAATTCTTCTCCGACCAATGCATACACGAGCCATTCCCAACTTCGATCAAGTACTTGAAATTGAGAATTTCTTAAAGAAATCACCCATTTACCACCCTTTTTTTTTTTTTTTTTTGTAATAAAAAAAAATTCATAGTTAACGTTAGTAAAATACCACTTTGAGTAAATTATAACTGTATTTATATGTATTACACTGTGAAGTTTACATTAGCATTTGCCGGATCTTCCCACATGGGCTTAATTTTGTCTTTAAATATATGAAAATTTGTATTCGAATCCAATTGACTAGGTTTTTTAACCCAATTAAAGTAACGACAGAACGTCTGGACCTAAAAATCAATAATATTTAAATTTAAATTTATATAATGTTAAATTTATTAAATTTATTACATTCTCTCTGTTTTTACATCTATTCTCGCACTCGCACACTCTCTAATATATAATTACCGATTTAAATGAACCAATCGTTTGTAAATTTTCTTCGTAGGTTTTTCCGGTTGGTGTTTTAGGACCTGGGGTCATAGCTGGTTTACTGTCATAATACATAGTCCTAAAATATGTTTAAAATAAATAAATTATTATTATTATTATTATTAAAAATAAATTATAAATTAGTCCAATTTTATATAACATAATTTCATTGTCATAAAAAAATAGGTAAATAGGTTATAATACGTACCAAGAATGTTGAAGAGGATGTACTTCTTTCGAAAATTTCGTACTAACACGATTATTATTACTTTCAATAGCCGAATTAAAACTTCGGGATCTAGCTAAAGTAAATCCACCATGAATCAAAGGGGAAGAATCATTTGATCTTCCCGTGGGTTGATCTGATGGATTTCTTTGCATAGATTTACTCCCGTATAATTGAGAGATTGGTGCAATTCGGAGAGGTTTATGAAAATTTCCCATACTTCCTTTTTCACCATCCTTATTATCACTACTAATAAGATTAAGTTTCGCCCAACGTTCATTACTTTCTCTTATTACACTGTTTAATTCAGAAGGATCTGTAGGAAGACTTAAACGATTACTAATTTTATTTCCAGTTGGTGAGGATGCGAGCCATTGTTGTAGATCATCAAAATTGTCTCGATTATTATTGTCACGACTTTTTGAACGGGAAGAATTATTATTATTATTTTTATGATTATTATTATTATTATTATTATTATTATTATTATTATTATTATTATTATTATTATTATTATTATTACGTCCTGGACTTCTAGATCTATTGGAATTTGAATTTTTAGGGGTATCCAAAGAAGGGGAGGATGGACTTTTAGGTCTACTATTAAAGGATGGACTTTTCCCACGCTTATTATTTGGGCTCTTGTTTCGAGAAGGACTTCTATCTCTTGAAGGACTTTTATCTCGAGTGGATCCATTTATACGTGAATTGGAAATATTTAGCAAATCATTGTTATTATTGGAAGTTGTAGTACTCAAATTGACTTGACTACCGTTGACGTTGATCTTGGGAATCGGTGAAGAAGCCGATGGTGAGCGAGGACGTTCAGACGGCATCTTTTTTTTTTTCTTTTTCTTTTTTTTTAAAAAAAATGACGTAACTTGATTCTCTTTATAAATATCTATATATATATATAATACTTTTTATAGCAAAAGTTGCTAATTTTCCTCAAAGAAGAGGGAAATGTTTTAATATGTGCCAATTGGTACTACATATTTATAGTAGTTAATCGTATTACAAGAAAGGTAAAATAAAGGACACAAAGAATTGACGAAAAAAAAAGAAAAAGGAAGAACCGTAGTCGTACAATGTAGTATTCAATACGATCTAATACTACACCAATCGATTGTTTTTTATATGAAGTACAAGGAAAGAGAACAAATGAATAAATGAAACAAATTAATATATTGAGAAACAATGAATGCAAATGTGTAATATGGATCACAAATCATTATAAAGAATTTCGAATTGTTTAATTTCTCGAGTTTTACAAGTTTATTAAAGTTTAATAAGTTTATTTCATCAGTGATACCAGTTTTTTTCTTTTACCAAATTTACCAAATTTACCAAATTTACTAGGGTTTTAACCCTAAATAATACAATGTATAAGGTTGTTCCGTCTCAAATAAAAAATAAAATCAAAAGAGAAGAAATCCATGCAAAACAAAAACAGCTAAAAAGTCGAAAAAAAATTGAGGAGAGATTAAGAAGACAAAAAGAAGAAGCCGAAGATCCCGAAAAGAAAAAGGTAAAATCTAGAATTTTTAATTTAATTAATTCTTCAAAATTAATTAAATAATTAAAATAAATTAGAATAATTAGAATAATTAAAAATAATTTAATGAATTAGAATAATTAGAATAATTAAAAATAAATTAAATGAATAAAATAATTAAATGAATTTAATGAATTTAGAATAATTAAATGAATTAAATCAATTAGGAACGCTTAGCAAAAAATATTCCACGGACACTTGAAAATGTACGAGAATTTGATGAAACAATAGTAGATGCGGAAGATTTAGAAGTTCTTGAAGATGAAGCCTCTGATGAATTTTCTAAATATTTTCAAGAAGGGGTATCACCTAAAATGCTTATTACCACCAATAAAAGACCATCCAAAGTAGGATATGATTTCGCATCAGAATTAATCGATGTATTTCCTAATAGTAATTTTGTAAGGAGAAAGAATCAAGTATCAATTAAGCAAATTATAGAATTTTGTAACAATCGAAATTATACCGATATTCTTGTCGTTAATGAAGAAAAGAAAGTTCCATGTAATTATTCTTCTTTACTTATAATATATTTTTATTTATACTATATTATATTTTATTTTATTTTTATTTTTATTTATTATATTTTATTTTATTTTTATTATATTATATTATATTAACTTTCTATTTACTTTTTCTTTCAAAAGATGCCATTACATTAATTCATTTACCTGAGGGACCAACCGCATATTTTAAATTAACAAGTATCAAATTAAATAATGAGATTGATGTATGAATATATATATATATATTTATTTATTGATTTATTCTTATATTTAATATTATATATATATTTTATATATATATATATTTTATCTTTAATTACAATTTAATTCTTTTCTATTACCATTAATAAGGGACATGGAAGATCATCATGTCATAAACCAGAATTAATTCTCAATAATTTCAATACACGCCTTGGTCATACAATTGGTCGATGGTTTCAAGCTTTATTTCCCCACGTTCCTGAATTTAAAGGGCGTCAAGTTGCAACTTTTCATAATCAACGTGACTTTATATTTTTTAGGCGTCATAGGTAAATATATACATATCCATATATATATGTGTATATATATATATATACACATTTACTATACATACGTACTTATACACTTAATACTAACATATACACTCGCACACATAAAGATATGTATTTAAGAACAAGGATCAAACTGAATTACAAGAAATTGGTCCAAGATTTACACTTAAACTGAAATGGCTACAAAAAGGAACATTTGATAAAAATGGAGAATATGAATGGATGTTTAAGGTATATATAAATATAAATATTTTTTAATTTATAATATAATAAAGTTTTAATTATTGATTTTTAATTTTTAATAGTCTGAATTGGAAACAAGTAGAAGAAGATTCTTTTTATAATTCTATTAGAATTATTAGATTTAATTTTAGGTTAGAATTAATTCATTTTTATTTGAAAAAAAAAAAATTTGAATAATTTATTAGAATTTAAAAAAAAAATAAATATTAAAAATAACCAAATTGGCTATATAAAATTTATTATAGTTACTTATTAAAAAATTTCTCCTTTAAAAAAAAAAATAATAAAATATTAATTTTTATTAATTTATTATTTTGTATATACAATTTTGGTCATTTCCTTTGATGGAGAATTTCTAATTAAAGTCACACCTTGATGATCTAACACTGAAATAATATTTTCACTATCTGTAACCACCGATATCTTTCTCTAAGAATTTATTAATCAATGTGTCACATTCATTTTTAGAGATTCCTGTATATAAAAAATAACAAGTAGTCACATTGTTAACTGGAATTCACCTTTGTAAAGAATTTGACAATGATGTACTATCACTGGTCAAATGATCCAAAAATCGCCTAAAATCAGCTGTCCGATCTTAAAATCGTTTGTTTTTACTTTTTTTTATTAGTAAAATATCAAAACTGTTATTAAGTAAAATTATAGCTAAGAACTAAATACACCTACTGAAAAAATTTTAGACCTAAATCTCACAATCAAAAGAAAGAGGGACATTTAAATTTTGAATATTCATTCATAATTTAAATGCCTAGCTTTCCTTCAATTTGTGAGCTTAAGGTCTAAAATTTATTTAGTAGGTGTATTTAGTTCTTAGCTCGAATTTTACTTAGTAAGTTTTTGATGTTTTACTAATAAAAAAAAAGCATTAAAAGATCGATTTTTTCTTTTTTATTATCAAAAATCGGATGGCTGATTTTAGGTGATTTTTTTGACTCGAATCATCAAAAAATTTGCTGATTTTTGATCATTCGACCAGTGTATTATAGTACTAGTCAAAATGATCCATTTTGGCTAAATTTTGAATGGCAGGTTTTTAACAAAGGGTAGCTGAAAGGTGACTAAAAATCCACCATTTTTTTGCTGAAAGTTATTTCTGTTTGTATGACACCATTCATCTCAATTCAGAATTGTCTTTTGGCAAAGTAATAAAAAGCCAAAATCCAAATTAGAATATATAAAAAATATTATGAATGTTTATTATTATTATTATTTTTAATTGCTTCTGAAATATTCATTAAATATAAAAAAAATATTATAAATGTTTGTTATTATTATTTTTTCCTTTTCTAATTATTTCTGAAATGTCTATTAAAATATATTAAAATATTATGACCCACTTAATATAATCTGAATACCACAGATTAATCTAACTACTACCATATATTCTACATACCACTTCATGTCTGCTATTACAACCAAGTTTGAAGAGCTTAGCCAGTATGCACCAGAAATACTTGAGCTCTTGACAACTGGTGTATTAAAGATAGATAAAGAAAAAAGGTGCCAGGCTCGTGATCATCTTCAAAAAGATATAAGTTTAACAAAGAACAGGTATATGCATTAATTTCTCATGAGAGAATTGGACAAAGTAAAAGCCAAGTATCCTTCAAAGAAGGAAATGGGTCAGAGGCTAGAGAAATAAATATATATCAACTTTCTGATAGTACTTGTTTTGAGGAAACTATTAAAGAAATGGCTCAGCATATTGTTTAGAATAATCTTAGTGAAAGAGATGTAAAAGTAATATCTAGAACCTTACACTGGTCGAAATAAGAAATATCAGACACCTATCATATGCCTATCAAAAGCCCGATAGGTATACAATAGGTGTTCGATATTAACAATTATGTAATATATCAGACATCCGATTGGTGCGATCGAAATGCAGAAGTTCAAACACTTATTGGGTCCATATCAGTTTCATATTGGGTATTAATATTTTGATATTTTATTCAAATTCATCATTTATATATTGGGCATCCGATTTTATTTATTTTTTTTATCAGGTACATATCTTTTATAAATTGGCCATAATATATTCCTATATATCAGACACGGTATATCTCTATGTATTGAATAGTTTTTTTCCTTCTATCAGGTATCTATCGGTACCTTTTATTTACAATATATATATATTTTTATTTTTTTTTATTTACAAATAATCATAATTTTAGTTTATTATAAAAAAAATAATAAAATGAAATATATTTATTATGAAAAGTATAAAATGAAATATATTATATATGCTATATAAAATAATCTATCT